TAGGGTTATACTTGGTATCCTAAACAGAACAAGAATTAAATGGTTTTCTTTGACTTTCGTTTTCTCTTGGAATAAAAAGCTCTGTAATCCATCAACCAGAAAACTACTTAAATAACACCTCCAGTCGTCTGTTGGCCAGGGAAGGCAGCCACGTTGTCTTTTTTGTTGTCTTGTACTTTTCAAGAGAGAATCTGAGTATTTCATGTTGATTGCTTGATTGGCTGCAGAGGGACTCCTTAAAAATACTAAAAAAAATCAGGAATCCAGTACAAATCAAACATTAGCTGTTATCAATCTTGTGCTCGGGGCATTATGTGAGGTTTTTACTCAGAAAGATGTCATTAAAAGTTGCAGAAATTAATTGGTGCATTGAATGTAATGGCCCTTCCTGCCATAGTTTCTCAAATGTAAAGAAAAATTATGGATAACGTAAATTCCTCGTGGGATTCTTATAGGTGTCTGCTTTGTTCTGTTATTGTTTATTGCAAATGTTATTACTGTGATCTATGGCCCTATCATGCTTTGTCTATACTGCGCTGCTACCCTGCCGCCCACAACAGCGGAGGGCTTTACTCACAAGCCAAGACCGCGTTTATTTGGAAATTCTTTGCTTTATATATTCCGAAAGTGTCTCAAGGTGTTCATTTTGTGTGTTTAAATTTTTATACAAAAACAGACTTGTTCTGATTGATTAAATATTGACTTACACCATTTTTAGAACAACTCTGAATCTTATTTAAGTTCAGAGTTTGTGTTCTTCTCTCCCAGAAGGTGTGCGTTCAGTGCAATAATGGCTATTACGTTGTGTGAGTCGATGCATCCGAATCCGCACTCTTTCTCCATAACCACGTTGGCTTAATTAGTAGTGGTTTAAAAATTTGGCTCTTAATTAAGGGGCAAATTACTATCTTTGGAAGAGTTTAAGAAAAGAAACTCCTGTTTTGCCTTTTAGAGGATGTTACCACTGCCTAGGCTGCAGTGCTATGTCTAATGTACATTATATTTTTATGTAACATCACTGAAGAGTAATCTTTTTTTCCCCAGAGAGTTGGAAGACATTTGTGGATGCCTGATTGTTCTTCAAAGATTCTGTGGTTATAAGCTTCTAGGAATTCACAAAAAGTCATTAGGTGCCCTTGGGAACTATAGTGCATTAACTGTAAAATCCTAGTTTCTGGGGTAGGCATTGTGGTGTGGTGAGTTAATCTACCGCCTGGTACACCTGCACAACCCATACAGACTGCAGGCTGAGTACCAACTCCTCTGCTTCTGATGCTGCTTCCTGCTGATGTGCCTGGGAAGGCGATAGATGAGGGCTCAAGTGCTTGGGCCCCTGCCAGCCACCTGGATGGAGTCCTGGCTTCCAGTATTGGCCTGGTCTCAGGTTTGGCTATTGCAGGCTTTTGAGGACTGAACCAGTGGATGGAAAATACTCAAAAAATTCCAGTTTCAGGGGCCATGCTGTGGTGCAGCGGGTTAAAGCCCTGGCCTGCAGTGCCGGCATCCCATGTGGGCGCTTGTTCTAGTCCCGGCTGCTGCACTTCCCCATCCAGCTCTCTGATGTGGCCTGGGATAGCTGGTCCAAGTCCTTGGGCCCCTGCACCCCTGTGGGAAACCCAGAGGAAGCTCCTGGGTCCTGGCTTTGGATCGGCGCAGCTCCTGTCATTGTGGCCAATTGGGGAGTGAACCAGTGGATGGAAGACCTCTCTCTCTCTTTCTGCCTCTCCTTCTCTCTGTGTACTTTCAAATAAATAAATAAATCTTTTTTAAAAAGTTCCAGTTTCATACTTTGTCGCTCCCCCTCTTCACGGAGGAACGACATTAAACCCTGCGTTGTTCTTTTGTCTGCTCGGCCCTTCCCGGGTTTGCTGCTGGTCGTTCCCAGGTTGGCTGCTGATCCTTCCACCTCCGTGGAAGGGCGGCTCCCCCTGCCACTTTCCCCACTTCCGCGGGGGAGCGGCACACCACCGGCCGGCTCTCTCAGGGGCTGCTCAGATGTTCCTCAGGTGTTCCTTCAGATGTTCCCGGTGCATGTTGTCTCTCTCCTCCTTTATAGTCCTCTTCCACCAATCCCGACTCTGCTACCCACATGCCGAGCACGCTGCTCTCCTCCAATCAGGAGCAGCTCCTGCAGTTTATTGGTCGAACTGGAGGCAGCTGCGTAGAAGCTGTTTACTCCTCTCCCAGCGCCATATTGTGGGAGAGCAGATGCATAGAATAAGTCTTAATTCCAGTAACTTAGTCTAGTCTGAGTTGCTCCCCACAATACTTACCTTTTGATTATGTTTTCTGGACTTAGACTACTTCTAGATTAAAGCTTTTGAGACATAGCTAGAGAATCATAATTAGGTGAGATCATGTCAAATGTTGAAAAATTTGTAATAAAAAGTTAAATTGAAGTCATAATATTTTGTTAGGTTGACACAGTCCCTTGGCTTGAGTATCTTTTTAAAAAATTTTTTTGAAATGTCAAATCTTATGACTATCAAAATGAAGTACTGTTGTAATTCAATGTGATAAAAAAGAAAAGAACTGATAGAGAAAATGATTAACTGTTCATTGTAAAAATGAATCAAAGGACCAGTGTTGTGGCATAGCAAGTATAAAGCCACTGCCCGTGACACCAGCATTCCATCTGGGCAAAGGTTCATGTCCCAGCTGCTCCACTTCTGATCCAGTTTCCTGCGAATATGCCTTAGAAAAACAGCAGAAGATGGCCCATCCGGAGAGTGAACCAGTGGATAGAAAATTCTCTCTCTCTCTCTCTTTTCCCCTCTCTCTGTAGCTTTGACTTTCAAAATAAATAAATCTTTTTTAAAGAGTCAAGACAATTCTAGTGTATATAAAAAAGAGCAAAACTGAACTCTAGAAGAAGTCAACATGATGTTTGGAGGTGTTTGATGTTATTTAAGCCCTGTAAGTTCCACGACATGTTTCATAAGAGGCTAGGAATATTATTGTTAAAACATTTACATAGAAACTGAGAAGTAGTAACCTCCAAAAGAACACGGATGCATTTTAGAGGTTTCAAATTGGCAGACAAAAGCAGTGGAAAACATTTTGAAAATTTTAGTAATCTATCAAAATTCAGAAAAAGAGGGATAAAAAGCAAATACAAGGCAACTCAGGAAAAAGAAGCGTTCTCTCAATTTTAGTTTGACAAGAGAGAAGCATTCCGAACTGCTGCCCTGTCAAATGGACTCAAAGCAAAACATCTTTTTGTTCTACCAAGAGGGTAAAATATTAGGCAGACTACTCATGGGGAGAGAATTAGATGAGCTTTGTGGATGCTGCCTGATAAGGCAGAAAGAAATGTGTGAGAACTTGAAGCCAACATGGGAGCTTGACATTCAACTCGTAGCTTTCATATGGAGTAAACTAAGCAACTGTCTCGTTGTATTGGCTTAGGTTTGCTCGTGAGGCTGATAAAATTGATGATGCTGAGCTTTTCAATGGCTTTCAATATTTCACCATGGTCCGTGGCAATCAAAAGAGTGTCATTTTGTTGGAGGTAGCTGTTGCGAAGGACTCCATGGTGGCATCGTCCACCTTAGGAGGCAGGGCCTAATGAATATATAGCGTGATGAATGCCACTTTTATTTTGACAGAGATACACTTTTTTTTTGGTACAGACTAAGCAAAAGTTGACTCTTCAAGTAAAAACTAAAAAAAAAAAAAAAGGATTATAGTGTTGAGTTCCTGTAAGAAGTGAATGCAAACCTCCCATGACCCCCTGGGGCTGTGCTCTGTCTTGCTCATCTGCCACTGGTCTTGGGAGAATGAGTAACTGCCATGCGTGTCCGATTCAGGCGTGGTTTGTGTGAGTTTCCAGGCCCGGTGTGTGTCGCAGGACAAGCTAGAAACTCAGCAGTTGTGCCTACAACGGTGTCTCTGTTGCCAAAATGCACACTTCCTACTCTCCTCCCCACCAGCTCACACACTGCTCCTCTCTGGAAAGTCCGGGGCTTCATACATTCCATCTCTGCTTCTGTCTCTCCTTTGCTGCCTCCCGTCTCTAGTCTTAACTAGCAAAATGTCCTCCAAAAAATGTCTCCTACTCTTGAGATTCAGCAACACCATAGGTTATATGGGGTACTTCAAAAGGTTCATGGAAAATGCAATTAAAGTTTATTTGGATACAAAAAGATTTGGAATCCAAGCATCTGAGACATCTTCAAGAAGTTCATGAAAAATGTATATGATAGAAAAATAACTCATAGATTTTGATTGGTTTTTTGCATCCAAATTAACTTACCCTTTAATTCAATTTTCTTTTCTTTTAAGGTGTGTTTATTTATTTGAAAGCTGAGTTATTGGGGGGGGGGGGGAGGGCTGGGACAGAGAGATCAGTCTTCCATCTGCGGTTCACTCCCCAAATGGCTGCAATGGCCAGAGCTGGGCCCATCCCAAGCCAGGAGCCAGGAGCTTCTTCCAGGTCTCCTACGTGGATGCAGGGGCCCAAACACTTGGGTCATCTTCTACTGCTTTCCCAGGTGCATTAGCAGGGAGCTGGATCAAAGTAGGGTAGCAGGGACTCAAAACAGCGCCCCTATGGGACGCCAGCATGGGATACCAGTGCCCCAGGTGGCAGCTTTACCACCCCCTTTGTTCCATTTTCCCCAGACTTCCTAAAATACCCTCTTAAGTTCCCAGCAAACAATGTGGGTCAAGTTCACATCTCCCTGAAACACCTGCAGGAATGCCCTTGTGGGGCTTCTCCCTAGTGATGTTCCACGTGACAGGGGTCACAGGACCAACTCTCTCTTCAAAGACGAATGAGTATCCCAGTGCCTACCTACCTACTCTTAGATGTTATTGGAAGTTAAAATCATTTGACAGTTTTATACATCTTAACTTTTAGACCTTTTAAAACATGTATTCCACGTTATTGTAAGTAAGATAATTGGCTGGGTCACACATCCAGTAGATAAGAATCCATAGGTTTTACAGTCCTTTTTCTGAATATTCTTGATTTAATAGAAGTTTTTGTCTCAATTCAGACCTCTGGATCTTCTTGGAAATCTGCAGTATCTGGCGACACTGGACATGGAGTCTGTGGTGGCAGCGGTCGACTGCTCCTGGCCTGTGCCGTCCATCTGCATGGTCTCCAGAGAGAAAGGTGAGTGTTTGTTGACCTTTATCATTGATGCACTGAGCTCTCCACTTGCTTCCGAGGGCTGCCTGGCCCCACTGACATCTGAGTCTGCCTACTCGGACTCTAATCCACTGTGTGTCTGGATAAGACCAAGCTCACTTAGTTGGTTCGGTTAAAGGAACTGCTTAACGGGCTGCGTCCACACTCGGAACAACACAATTGGCATCCCCACCAGAAGGCACGTTTGCCCAATTCCATAAAGCAATGGGGGACAACGTGGGACAATCTCTGAACTCAAGACTTCATGAAACTTAGGGTGATAAAACACGTGCTGAGAATGGCTTAGAAAGTTTGAACTCAGCTTGTATGACTAACCTATCCTGTAGGAGCGCACCATAGTTACCTATATATACAGTACATATTAAAACAGTGGTCAGCTTCTGGGGGGGGGGGCCTCTGGACGTATTTGAGAACATTTTCCCCAGAAAAAAAAAATAACATTCATTCACACAGCATCCCCAGTTTTTCAGTTTCGGAAGTTTCCTGGTCCCCCTGAGGCCAGTTGAGATAGTGCAGCGGTCATTGGTCTCGGGTGTGGACCCCTTGCTCCAGCACACGCAGAAGTGCACGGCCAGCTTCACTTCCCCACCTGCTGAAGACCTCCAGGGCTGAGCGTTTCCTTGGCTGAGTGGATGGTTCTGGGCTGCTCTGGTTCTGTCTGGGTCTTCCAGTGTTTGGTCTCCCTACCTTCTACTGCTCACTCTTCATTCTGTTGAGTGCCTCGTTGAAACATGGTCCGAGCTCTGCCGGGGGCTGTGCAGAGAAGGTAACTTCCTTCCAATGCTCACTGAAAACATTGGCTGTCCAGTGAGGCTGCCCAATTCCCGGTGCCAGGCTGCGCTACCTCCTCTGCTGGTGGCAGAGGGAAGACTTCGTGGCTCTGTAGGGGTGAGGGGATCACCTGTCCGTGGGGCAGAAGCTAGGGACAGGCGTGTGGGATACCTTTGCACAACACGCTCTTGGCAGCACAGGTGCACATGTGATTATTGAAATATTCTCCACTCTGTCTGTCTGGGTGTGCAAAGACAACCTTAGGTAACTACCCCTGCAGCAGAAACAGAGTAACTGCGAACATTCCCTGGCTTCTTTCAAGCCTGCTCACGCTGGGACTCATCTGAGGCTTTGAAATTTGACTCTGGTGTGTCCAGCCATGTCAGTTCAACCCCATGTCTACACAGTGTTCAATCCCATGTCTACACTTTCCTGCTGACCAATCCCCAGGCCCCTTCCTGTGCTAGGGTTATGCTATTTTAGCGCTCCTACGTGCGGCCTATGAGATCCTGGGTAGAGAAACATAACTAAACAATCCTTTAGGTTTTCAACAATGCATTTTTTTCCCAAAAAACATTTTTCAATAGTTCAGAAAACTGCTGCCAGTCAATTCTGAATGAAATGGATTCAGAGAGCAATCATGAAAAGGACTCAGAAAGATGTGGCTTTTTCCGTTTTCCTGGTCTCACTGAGGCTTGTCACCTCTTGCCGGTGGCAGAGTTGACCAAGCCTCAGATGGGAATCTCTTCCTGCGGGTTCGTGGTCAAAGTCGTGATGTGTTCAGAAGCTCCTGTTCGCTTGTTCTCTTCAGTGTGTTACCTCCTGTTGGCCTGAACAGCAGTTAGATGATCATGACAAATGACTATAATGGGAAAATGACAAGAATTCAGGGATTTAGCATGAGCTGTGTCCTCACTCACACAGAAGTAAAGATTCTCTACTCTTCAACTTTTTAATTACTAAAAAAAATCTTATCTTAATGGAGTTCACAAAACACTTAGTGGCTGCTGTCTAAGCCCACTGTGCCTTGCTGTAAGATCTTTTTCTTGTTGAAATGTTTGGTTTGGTTGTTGCTCTGTTCATTGTGGTGTAGTTGATAGGGTTTTTAATAAAAGATAGCATTCCCTATTAAATATTGAAGTTGTTTTCCTTGAATAGAAACACTTTGTTACCGAAATAGCAGACAGGATAAAATGGTCATCCTGCATGGGCATCAGTGAGACACCTGCATGTGGAAATGGCAGGCTCCACTTCTCTTCTCCCTGCAAGCCAGCCCTACCTCTGCCTGAGGTCTGACTGCCCAAGCCCCCTGCTGGTGTGCAAATGGGGTTCTAACTCAAGCCTATCCCAGTACGCCCCTTCTCCTGCCCAGCTTGCAGATGGAAAGGGTCCAAATTAACTTTTCAAAAAGATTTATTTTATTTGAAAGGCAGGGTTTGCTGGCGCTGTGGCACAGCGAGTTAATGCCCTGGCCTGAAGCACCGGCATCCCATGTGGGCACTGGTTCAAGACTCGGCAGCTCCACTTCCAATCCAGCTCTCTGCTGTGGCCTGGGAAAGTAGTAGAAGATGGCCCGAGTCTTTGGGTCCCTGCACTCACAGGGGAGAATGGGAGGAAGCTCCTGGCTCCTGGCTTCAGATCGGCAAAGCTCCGGCCATTGCAGCCAATTGGGGAGTGACCCATAAGATGGAAGACAACCCCCCCCCCCCAACTCTAACTCTAACTCTGACTTTCAAATAAATAAATAAATCATTAAATAAAAAAGAGAGCAGGTGACAGAAAGGGAGGAAGAGAAAGAGAAACAGATCATGCATGTGCTGGCTCACTCCCCAAATGGCCCCAAGAGCCAGGGCTGGGCCAGGCCAAAGCTGGGAGCCTGGAACTCCAACGACGCCTTCCTCATGGGTGGCAGGAGCCCAAGGACTCGGGCCATCATCCGCAGCTTTCCCAGACACGTTAGCTGGGAGCTGGATCAGAAGTGGAGCAGCCGGAACTCAAACTGGCCTTCGGCTAGTGGGATGGCAGAACCCCGGGCAGTGGATTGGACCCACTGCACTACACCACCAGCCCTCATGGTACTTTATTAAGGTATGATTTGTTTATATTGTTGAGAGACAGAAGACGGAGGTAGAGGAGACAGACAGAGCTCCCATCCATTGGTTCACTCCTCTGGTGCCCACAAGGGCTAGAGTGGGGCTGAGCTGAAGCCAAAAACCAGGAATCTGGAACCAAATCTAGATCTCCCATGGGGTGGTAGGGACCCAGTTGTTAGCTATCCCCTGGTGCCTCCCACGGTGTACATTAGTTCAAAGCTGGAATTGCGAACAGAGCTGAGACTTTAACTCAGGCAATTCAATTTGGAGTGCAGGCATCCCAACCAGCCGCCTAAGGGCTAGGCCGGATACCTGGCCCCTAAATCCACTTGGTCTTGTTGTCATTCTCGGGCAGCAAATAGTTCTCGGCACAGGGGCCATGTGGAGAACGACGGAAGACGGAAGAGCTGTCAGTGGTTGGTCTGTGCCCCCTCAGGCCATGCTTACCCTCCTGCCTCCTTCCTTGCTTCTGTCCCCTGACTCCATGCTGCCTTGCTGCTGAAGGAGTTTGCTTCCTCTTGGTTAAAATCAACCATTTTCTTCTCTGTTTTCTGTAGTATCTTGCTTTAGCTGTGGGGCAGGGACAGCATGGACACTGGGGTGTTCATATCTAGTTAAATTCTGGCCTTACCACATCTTAGTGATGTGATCTTGGGCCCATAATCTCTCTACAATCCAATTTTTTTCATCTGTAAAATGGAGGCAGTAACAGTTCTTTCAGGAACTGTTGTGATGGGGTCCATGAGATAAACCAAGAGCAGCTTCAGCAAGTTGATAAAAAAAAATGTACATTGTCTTTTAATTGCATTTCTCTGTGAACATTTTGAATCCCGCTTGTACACCAGCTCTTGATGTGCCTGACACTTGATGGTGTTTGATCAATGTTAGATTCTCTGCTTGACACACACTAACATTGAATGAGCTGGACAAATACCTGCAACAAATTCCCACAAAGGAGGACTATGATAAAACCGTGGCCTGGGTGTTAAATTGGCCACTTACATTGTAAAGTATAAGAAAATAATGGGTCGGTTTCTTGTCTGCATAGTTTGCACATTTGTTATCCCTTTGAGTTAGAAACATAGAGAAAGGCAAACACTTGTGTAACTCAATGACTGTGGCCCTTGAATTGCATCATCACAGCCTGGGTATGTTACCCATGGACATACAGTCTGTTACATTTTAACTTCGCACAGTTGAGATGCAGTAATGAAGGTAAATGTTACCTCCAGATAAGTTGTTCCTCCCAAGTATTTGCTTCGCTGTAAATAGCCCCTTCGTGGCTGTCCCCTTGTCTCATTCCTCTTTGCAGGAGGCCAGTGACCTGCATCCCCTCAAGTGACTGTCCTCTCCTACAGGGCCTGCCACGGGCTTTGTTGTCTTCTCCAACATTCTTCGCATAGTGATTTGTGCATGGTGATTAATTAGTCACTCTGCTAAGTCTAAAAGAGCAAACCAAAGACCCAGGGTGTTAGTTGCAGAAGTCCAATCTTGCTGGCCTAGAAAGTGTGTCTTCTGACCAAGAAAAGTTTGCTTTATCCTTTCAATGTTTTCCTCTGTTTAATGTGTTTCTCTGGTTCGTGACATTTTTATCCCATCTCAAAGAAGCGTCGGAGTCCAGATTTGTTAGGACCCAAGTCATACTCCCCACCCTTTACCTTGCTTCCCATGTGAGCCTAGGACAGCGCCCTCTCCCTTCGAGATCACGGTGTCTCTTGAGTTTCCAAGCCTGTTGTTTTAGAGGTCCTCACAGCAGCCCTCAGCTCTGCCCGTCTGCGAAAGCATGAAAGCCCATCTTGTCGGGTGAGTGCTGCTGCCAACCTTGGCCTAGCAGGAGGCAGTACCCAAAACTCCTTGGAAACACAGCCAGGCACCCTTCCAGTGGGCAGGGGGCACAGGCCACCAAGGGCTTGAGAGAGTTTCTCCTTCGCAAAGCCTGGAGGTGGCTGCATCTACTCATTTTGCCCCCCTGTTGCGGGCAGGGCCACCCAGCCTGTTGTGGGCACAGCTTCACAGCTCAGCTGCGGAGTCCTCTCAGCGAGGCCCACCGAGAAGCAGGCTGCGTCTGTGTTCAGCAGAAAAGACCCCTTTAATCATCAT